GTTAAATGAACGAAAAATTAGGTGTCTATTTACTTGTGACCACTCAGTGTATTTCTTTTTAAAGGGTCTAATTTTTTATATGCTATTGAATTGCTATAGGTTTTCTTTTTATCAATATTACTTCTTTATGAACTGTGTTTTTCATTTTTAAAGTTTTTAAGTTGTAGTTCTTTAAGGGCTGTATTATTCATCTTATGTTTATAATGGCAAGAGAAAGTTAACCCTCTCCTTGATCATATTGAGAGTGTCAAGTTACTTAATTGTAATGTTAAATTTCACTGAAAAAACTTTAAACAAATGGGGAAGTAAAAGTATCGTATTCAGACATAACTCGCATTTGCTACCATCATATTTTAATATAATTTTTTGTTTAAATTTGATTTATCATAAATATATGCTTTTTCACATCACATGCATCCATAAAGTTATTAAGTTGACTTCGTTCTAGCTGCCTTTGTTCCACAATAATATCCTGTGGTCACTGCACCAAAATTTCTCCTTTCTACCCACTCTGTGGTATCTTCAGGTAAGTTGCGTTCCTGAAAGAGTAACTTAAATAGGTGCGCTATAAAATGGGAAACCCAACAACATAAATTGTGAAGTAGTACTGAATTCCATTGAAACAAGTCTGTGCTAAGAAATAAATGGACTTGAAACAAAGCGTGATATGCAAGGAAAACTATCTTTATTCAAACACAGTGCACGTACTTTCGTTGGGCATTGAACAGTTGCTTCAATTGAAGTTGTGAACTTATTAGGTTGAAGCAGCTCTTAAAGGCTTATTTCCGTCTTGGCCAGGTAGTTAGAGCGCTCGACTCGCAATCTGAGGGTCGCGGGTTCGAATTCCCGTCCCACCAAACATGCTGGCCGTTCAGCTGTTATAATGTTACGGTCAATCCCACTATTCGTTGGTAATAGAGCAGCCCAAAATTTGGCGGTGGGTGGTGATGAATAACTGCCTTCCCTAAATTAGGGACGGCTAGTGCAGATAACCCTTCTGTAGCTTTGCGCGAAATACACAATAAACAAACAAACTATCTTGACTAACTAACTCAAGATGTTTCAGACTGTCCAAATCTTGCGTTACTTACTGGAATCAGTAATGTCATACTTACCCAGAACAATTAGTGCTACCCACGAATAGTAATTCCCATTCAAACATTGGAAGACACTGATGTCGATCTTCAGGTACAAGGTGAAGCTTTACAGCTATACTTGTCAGGGTCAGACCAAACCTTATTGCCAAGAGAATACCAAAGAACGAAGACAACGAGCACAAACGCAATCTAATAACTTTCTTGACTACATATTATAGAAAAACAGCATGTACATAGAATAAATGAAAAGTTAGAAAATCCTACATCAAATGAGAAGGTAGAAAATGCATGGTATGCCTATATACTACACAGATAACCAATATTCCATCTCTTGTTCAGTCAATCTCAGATTTTAAATGTCCATTATTTATTCATTTTCAGTCAAGATTCTAATTCTTTCCACTATTGAAATGTTGTCAGATAATCCGCTGACTTTAAATAATGACTTAAAAGTGATGACAAAATGTTCAAGTCTTTTATTTTGTTTGATGATAAAACGTTACCTTTGTTTAAAATTTTACAGCAAAAATAGAATATTGAATCACATTTGAAAAAATATAGCACAGTGATTAGAACAGCGAATAATGAATCTGCAAGTCCAGAATTCAAGACTTTTTACTACTATAAAATAAAAAAAATACATTTGCACTTTGTGGCCATAATTTCTTCATATGGAAGATGACCAAACAGCACTATTTGGTCAAATAATAGTGGTGAATGTTGTTGACTAGATACCTTCCCTATATAGTATATCAGTTCAAAATTAAGAGCAGCTAACACATATAGCTTTTGAGTATCTTTACACAAATGCCCAACCTCTTTCTTGGTACTTTCCATTAGCACGTCATTGTGTATAATAATTAGTTGTTGTTTTTTATTTTCTTCCCCCCCCTCTCTTTAAGAAAGTAGTGTGTCTGGAACTGTACTGGACCCTTTGTGACTGACAAATGTCACCTTTGAATTTATTTTTGGGCATTTAGTTGAAGCACCAAAATAAAATATGCATGAATTTCCACTTTCTTTTTGTTTGACTTATATAGAATTGCCATTGTCATTAGAAGTTTGATTGCTTTCTTCTTAATTTCTTAAACAGTTGTTGTTGCACCGATATTTTCACTTGGTTTAACAGCAGTAACCTCTGTAAACCTTCAATGTGCCACTTTGCACATCCTGAGAATAGTACCCTTTTAGTTTTCTAAATTTGACTCTTTATTTATTTTCAATATTAAACACTAGAAAGACAGTGGCTTCCATAAGCCTTCAGAGTTAAACCACTTTTGATAAATCAGTTTTAGGTGACAATTACTTTTTAACAATCTTGCATTTTTTAGATTTCTAGTTACACATTTTTGGAAAAGCATCATCGATAAGAACAGAGGCTATTTCATTTAATAAATGTTGTGTTTTGATATATAAGTTGTTCGTTTTTTTTCATCTAAAAAAAAGCGACATTAATTCCTTGATGATATAATATATATATGTGTGTATAATAATGACATATATTTTCAGTGTTTCTTCATGTGAAAATAAAATTCTACTTGAATGACAAGAAATCAGTTTCAATCACTATAGTTATGTCAAGTTTCCTATCTTGCTATAAGAATTTTAATGAACTAAACTTCAGTGGGGACTGGTATGAGGTGAATGTTGCCTTTATGTCAAACCTGTTTCAAAAAAATACCTAAATTGCTCATTTCTAGATATTGTTAAATGGCTGATACCTCTACATAAAACTAAGTTATGTGTCATGTCAGTTTTTAGCCTTCAAATTTTCAGAGCAAAGGTCTATATGAACTGCTTCTAATCGTTTGTTTGTTTTTACAAGAAAGGGGAGGGCTACTGATTCTCTGTACTGTATGGTAAATTTTGTTGAAAAATACAACTATGTTGAAAGATTGAAGCATTTTTATTGTCTTATAACTGCTGTCTCATATATGTAGTGGTTAAAACATTTTTCTTTGAATTTTCTAAAATCCAAAACATGGACATTTTTTATCTGATTCTATATTTTTACAAAGCCAGAAACATTTTGAAACCAGAAATAAAAAATCAGATGAAGGGTAGGAATGAACAGATAGATACTTAAAATAACTTATTTTTAAAACTCAATTTTCTTGCTTTTATATAAATGGTCAAGGAAAGAAGCTTAGAACCTATAAATCAAAATCACTTGAACAAACTAGTGACCATGCCCATTTTTCACAGTTCTATATTAATAATACAACAGTTGATATTGAAGAAATAAATTACTGGCATTTTATAAGAAAAAAAATTTAAAATACTGCATGTATAGCAGTGGTGGTTATTACCAATGCAATTAACCAAATCTTTTTAACAATTAAAAAGGGGTCCAAATTTCAGAACAAATAATCATATATTTGTAGCCACAAGACAGGCACATTTTAAGAGTTGATCACTGTAGCCTAAGCATAATGGTTTTCTTATATAAAAACCATACTGTTGCAGCAAAACATGAAAAATCCTTATCTTCCTTTCATCAAATATGGTTTCTTTCTCCGAGATCCATCAGTCACCTGGAAATACAAATCATTAGGTAGACATATCATATTAACATCTAATTTTAAAAAAAAGTAAATTTTATCTTTTTGGTTCACAAAACTTTGTCCAAAAGGATGCTGTAACCTATTATTTGCTGTCATCAAGACCTAAGAGTACACATTACACTTTCAACATAAGATTAGGATTAATTTAGCATGATACTGAAAACATACAAAACTCTGATTACTGAAACAAAAGTGGTCCACATTTCAAACTGACATAAGTGGAACTCTAATCAGTTGATGTCAGTTTGTATACATCCACTCATTCACAGTAGTACAAAGACTACGAAGTGCTTGAATGATTTACAATCTGCTAACTGTAACCGAGTTTCATCATATTTAGTTTTGCTAAAAAGTGGAGCTTTCTGGTGGCTGACTATATCTCTGATTTTCTTTCAATGTCATGACTCTACGAAGTTCTTGAAGAACTGTCTTAATTGAATACGTTCTTTGCCAACGACTAAGTACTGTACTTGATCTTCTATCAACCTGTTAAAAGAAAATTTAAGAGATTTTAAACATCATATATACATTTAATATAGGAAGTTTAAAAAATGTAATGCTATTTATATAAGAAAAAAGATGTGAAAAATAGTTGTAGTGAAACAAAAGAAATTCTGATTATGCTAAAATAGGGAGAAAATAAATAAATATATTACAGAACTACATAATGTTTGATTGAAGTGTATTTTACATCGTTAAAAACAATAAGTATAACAAAACAATAACTTTACACTAGCATTGACCTATTAGTGCCTTCACATATCAATTATAATTCTATTCAAATACTATTTCAACTTCAACTTTTATTTTTGTCCAATGAGTTGAAAATACAAACACATATCATAGTTAAGTACTTGGATAAACTAGAGGGTAAGAACCAACAAACTCAAAACATGCTTTTATAATGTACAAAATCAACAGGGCAAAGCTAAAATCTTTCTTTTGAAATAATAGTAATGAGTGTAGTAAAACATCAATCAAAATCAGAAACTAATTTGCATCATTCATAATATAATTTCCGGAAAGAAAAGTAAATAAAAGTATTTACTATATATCATAGGTTGATACCAACAATATCTTGTGCCTAATATCAACTCTCTCTCCAGAATGGCTAAGTTGCAACACCTAAAACCTTAGTTAAAACAGTATTCAAATCATTTGTTTGAAGGACATGTTGCATGGTATGTAACAAAACACATCACATAATTAAACAATTTTCCACTATACAAAAGAAACCAATTCTATGATTATTTCAAAGGAATGTTACTCAAAGTATAATAAGGGAAATTGCTTTGTTCTTATAAAATGACCACATAATCGCTAACACAAGAAACAGAAAGACACTTATGAAGATGTTTTATGAAGCATCTAATCAACTTTTAATCTCATAATCATATTTCTTATAAACAGAGTAAATAAAGAAACTGACATCATGAATAAGTCACTAAAATAGTTCCAATATTCCCATGTGTGACAAAAAGGTAAAAAAAAAACAACAACAAATTATTGAAAATGAGAGAGAAACAAGTTAAAAAAAGGAATTATCAACAGCTCCTGATTAAAAAGAAGGTAATTACATACATCAGAATTAAAAAGTAAACTATAATTAATGAAGCCAATTCTATATAACAAAACTATACAGAAGTACACAAAGTCACAAATAAACATCCAAAAACACTAAAATACAATAAATCATCAATGGGGTACCTTCACTGTCAATGATATCTTCAGTCCTAAACCCAAAGGTATTATTTTCAGGAATGTAAGCTGAAATTAACTTATAATTTTGAAAGGTGAAACTGAAAGCACACACCTACATATTACATTAAGTACATGTACAGAACACCACAAATAAATCACTTACACACAGAATTTGTTTGTATCAGTATTTGAAAAATGTGAGATCCAAGCCAGAAACCTAATAATTCCAGAAGTTGTTTTTCTAAAGGATTTTAAAAATCTTATGAAATAAATGTTGAGCTACTTACCAAGCCAGTACTTTCACTTACTCCATTCATCTTTATTTTTGTTAAAAACCTACAAGAAGGGGGTTCTTCAGGATAATGTTGGCCACATTCTATTTTTAAACTGTAAATCCTATTTTCATATGGAGTCTGAAAGGAAAAACTTCATAAATACAAGCTTACATTCTTGGAAATGTGCTAAAACATAACCTTAATAGTATAATAAATTCAAAATCCTTTTACACACAATAGTATAAAAATCACATAAAATTAACCCAGAACAATGAAAATCTGTGCTACATCATAAAACTTCACATGTTACACAGATATAATTAAAATACATTGTTCTTACTTAACAATCATCACTGCATTTATGACAAAATGTAACATCAATTATTCTCATCACTATCACTTCAAAAATCACCTAAAAGAAACTTTTGGACATAACTTCTGATCCTTCTACAAAAGAAAATAATAAACATTTTACAAAAGCTTCAGCACCAGAAAATGATACTTTTCCTACAATATGCACAATGCAGATTCTCCTAGGCTATATACTATCAGTGAATTAAATCCCAAATAAGACAGTGCAAAAACAAATATACTGAAGTATCAAATACTGCTCGTGTAAAGGTAAATAATGGAGTAATTCTCTGTCTCACAGATTCTCACGATGTAGGGTTGGACCTTGTAGCTAACTTTTTCACTTGGAGAATAAACCGCAGACTCAAGAAACAAATTTAATGAAAGCCTTCAAGTCTGAAACAAAAAGCTTAGGACAGACTGATAAAACTGATATTCTAGGGTCTGTGAAATTATTGTACAGCTAAGATCACTGATTTGTTGCATCTGGCAAAGCTTGCAATGGGTTCAGCCACTTGTTTTATGTGCAAAGTTAAACCCTACACTTATCTACTTTATACATCAGATTTCTCTTTCTTACAATGTTATTGCTAGTTTAGTGACTTTTTTTATAATAGCCACAAACAAATTTATCATAATGTTGTTCAGTATCTGTGTTTGATAACTGGCAGTAGTAATGTGGTATTAAAAGATGACTGGGATACTTTTTCATCATAGCTGACAAACTATCATCACTGGCTTTACAGTCAAGTGTATAGTAAAGTATTACTATGATTTCAGGGTACAAGTAAAAGTTTACTTCCAATCTATTTTCCTTTAGTAACACCTCGTTAAAAAGTATATGTAAACAATATTAAGAACCACGTTTAACGTTCATAATATTGAAGCAATCAGCTGTTGAAAAGTTAACTTCATTATTATCACTGCAATTTGTTATCATACACTGAAATATTTTTAGAATATTCAAAATTTATTATAAAAAAGCCTTATCAAGAAATGATTATTCTTTATTCAAAAATCTTAGATTGTGAGTAGATTTTATAAATTGATATATAAATTGTAAAAATAACATTGTCCACAGACTCTTGGACTATTGAATGGTATACAGAAGTCAGGAGTCTGGTGGACTCCAATATTCCCCATTTTTGTGATATATCAAAATTATCCTTATATAGTTAGAGTACAGCTGCGTATGGTACTTAACATTTTTCTACATAGTCTACATTCTAATGATGAAGCATTAGCATTTTTTGGCTTGAAATAGTTATGTGTCCCCAGACCCCTGTAGTATTAGTATGCTTATGAGTTGGATTTTAGGTTCTAGGACAGTTCACTACTGAACATTTCACTATTGGTCTTTTCATTACTAGAGTATTTCGATACCTGTTCCAGATATGTATAAATAATTCATTATGGCTGGACAACTATTCGAGGAAAGTTTGAATCATTTTTAAAAAGTTTAGATCTTTCATCATTCTAATTAAAATGTTTTACAACATAAGAGCCTTTTTTATTTTGAAGGAGTGTTTCTCTAATAAACTAATATTGAAGAAATATTCTCTAATATTTTACTGACTGGAGTGTTTGTCTAATGAACTAATACTGACCAAATATTTTTATTTTATGATCTTAAATAAGATATGTAAGGGAGATTATAACATAAAATGATCAGGAAGTGAAATGACCTGGTAGCAAAAATACCCTATTAACAAAAAGACTGGTAGTGAAATGTCCAAGAATGATATGTTCAGTAACAAACTGTACCTTTTTCTTGTAATGTTACTGCTAATTTAGTGACATTTTTATGATCATCACAATAAATTCAGCATGAAGTATCTTTATGTGTCTGGATGAAGGGTGACTTCAAAGGGCTGAATGGCTTTCTTTTATCTTGCTTTCTTTTTATGTCCCCTTCAACAACTTTAAAAAATGAAGAAGACTTCTACACTTTAGCTACTTACTCTAGGTGGGCCTATAATCATGCCTGTCCAATGTGTAAGACTCATATCACTGTCATCTTCTAACCCCCAGCTAATAGTGCCATCTCCAACTCCTTTTTGGCCCTGTTCCAATTCTTCAAGCAAGCGGAAGTTCCGAGGAACCACAACACCTAATTTGAAAAACATAAAAGTCTAACACTTTGAAAATACAGCAGATGAAAAGCTCTTACTTACGAAAAGAACAAAAAAGGGAAATTTTAGTTAGCTAGGTCTAACTGTGCATTCATTTAGAATGCATGTGCATATATTATGAAATTTCAGAGATCTGTTGAATAGTTGGTTTCATTTTTTCCCCAGAGAAATAGTGGCATATGATAAAAAAATTTATAAAGAATGTTTCACACATAGTAGCAAAGACAAATGCAAAAAAGGTATGTAAAACTAGCTTTTAAAACCTTGTTTATGTCACTTATAAATCTTTTTTGTTTATAATTTAAAAACAGAGAATTGGCAGGAATTTTATCACCCATTGAGTACATCCCAATCTCTGAACTCAAAAGCCAAACAGTAATTTATTTAAATCTAACATTCACATTCATATCCTCTCCATTAAAACACTATAGCAATCCAAATCTTCAGCACATTTAATCATCAAATTAATCTTCAGGTTAACAATTCTAGTAAAAAAATAACTTTACTTACAAAAAACTTTTCTGTCTACATTTCTAAGTCATATATTTCTTACCTCTCATATTCAAATCACTATTAGTGATTTCAAGTCAAGAAAAAACCTTACAAAATATATTATCAATGGCTTTAAAATTACTTTAAACTTGAATTACATCTCCTCGAGTTGATCTACACTTCGGCTAAAGACATTTACTACTTTTTAAGCTCTTCTTCATAGCTCATTGTTTTTAAGATATCATTTAGAAAGCATCTCAACATATTATTTCCAATAGATCATCTTTTTCTGTAAGGGTGCCAGTCCTGAACACAGTATTTCAAGGGAGGTTATTCAAATTCAATGCAAGGAGAAGCTGTTTTAAAGCTCTTCTCTTAAATTTGTATATATTATAATACAATATCACGTTACAAATTTATACATTATTCATGTAGCTCCATAACTGGTGTATTTATAAAGTGTTGAAAAAAAAAGAGCTAGTAAAAAATAACTCAATATATACAAAAACAATCAATTCTTTCTACTCCATATTATTTGTCTTTATTACATATGAAGAAATTTGTTGGAAGTAAAGTTCAGAGTAAAAACTCAATTTTTCATATAAAAAAATGTTTATTTTGTTTAAATTCAGATATAACAACATGTACATCTGCTTTGACTAAGTTTAAACTATTCTAAGTAAAATAAAAACAGGTGTCTCCAGTATTTCAGAAAATATTTCAAACATAATCAGAAACATAAGTAACATTTTCATATTACTTATGTTTCTTAATATAATTGAAGTACTAATTGCCAATTTCAAAAATAAATTACACTACAGCATAAAGAAAAAAATAATTGTTCACAATAATACCATGTGTTTGGGTACAGTATCACAATGAAAATAAATTATATATTTCAGATTATGTAATGCAATAAATAAAACTAAATATTTACATTCAACATTTCAACATTAATATTAATTTTCCTGAAATAATACAATCTGCCAATAAGAGATTTTTAAACCCCCTAATCATTGTGAAACCTGAATAAAACCTGCTTCCTTTAACTTTCTTATATTTAAAAAAAAAAAAGTTTGTGTGCTTAAGCCTAACACCTAATCCATAATTTTAAACTAAACAATGTTCTAGCATTCCACTCATGTTCACAACCCTAATTGATTGTTCTGTAAAAAATAAACAATTTAATTGGCAAAATTAAATACAACTTTTCAAACAAGACCAAAACAAAATATTTACTAAAATGCGTGAGATTTATAGAAAATAGAGAATTAAATACTGAAATTCAATAATAAAATCATGATAATTTAAGTAAGATTTTCAATGCAAAGCATAACCTAACTAAATACTTTTAGCAGTTTAAAACACAATTTCACCGTAATTATATTATGTAACTTGAAAAAATAAAAATGATGGCAGTTCACTTGAGGTAGTTCATTAAGAATCCCTCCCCCAGAAAAAAAATTACAAAAAAAAAGAAGAGATTAATTCTATCATCTGAAAGGAGAAGTACAGTAATAGACTTTATCTAAGAAAAAATCCTGTATCTGGATTTTCAAACTTTATGATTATTACTCAATATTCAGATCCCCACAAACACTAACTTTTTATTTTATTCTCTCTTGGGCATCATTATTTTCCACAAACAAATAAATTAAGTTACTTTTATTTAAAACTTACCTAAAAATGCTAAAGAGCAAAACCTTTTCATTTCTAAATCACTCAACTAACTTAAAAAACAAAAAAGACAAGAAAAAGCTTTACAATTCAATGTTAGATTGTTGAGGAGAAAATTGTGGTGTTAGGTTAGAGACTTGACTTGTTAAAAAATATTATTGCAAGTACCACTTTATTTGTGATTTAACATTATTTTTTGGAGAAATGTTCAATATTATTATTTTGAATAATCTTATAAATTAGGTTGTTGTTGTTCTTCTTCTTTCCTTATATTCTATTTTGTGTACTTTGATATCAACATCATTGCTTTATCTTAAATATTTGCATTTGTGCATGTATCTTGAGATCAAGATATTTCATTACAAAGTCCTGGCCATGCAGTACTTAATTACATGTTGATATTATGTAATTAAATTAATTTAATAAAACTCATGCTTTTTTTGTACTGTGTTAGTAATTTTGTTATTTAATACAATTCCAGATCATTATCCTTTTTACTTAAAAAGTGAAAACTTTTGTCAGTTACATATAAAAACAACTAGTAAAAGGCAATAATTTTGTAATCCCTTTACTCTTAAAAAAACTCTGATATTTAAACTTAACAATAAATTTAAACTTACAGGTATAATACACTAGATCTCATGCTATTTAGTTTTATTTATGTGCAGAGACAAGTTTTCTCAAAAGCTACTGCATCTCTGGAGAGATTTCAAATTCAACCACAATTAGAAAAACTAGCCAAAACTAATGCTTAAGACATAAATAGTATAATTCTGTAATACTGTACTTCATGATTTCAACTTTCATTGTAATTTAAGTGATACTACATAACTAATGATGTTTCAACATTATTTACACTTGCATTTTTTCAACTGGAAAAACCTGATTTTTTAGAAAAAAGAATTATGATCACATTTCACCGAGATAATTTTTCAACATTGTTTTGGTGTCTAATTAAATGATTTAATATCTTTTTTTTTTTAGCTGGAGCCTTATCTTAATGATTATGCATTGCTATTATTGAAGTTATATATTTCACAAACACAAGCAAAAACTGAATTTTGAAACAACTATGTGGTTATACCTCACTAATCTGTGATCACAGCTTCAGTTACAAAACATATACTAATACTACTAGTAACAATCATACTCCTATAAATTATTTACTTTATTACTAGTTATTACACTACACAGTATATGTTATATTAATAGTACTGTATAATATTAATAATGTATTAGTAGTAGTTGCACTATACTATATAGCATAGTGTAACTTGTAAATATAATTTATAAATATAAGCAATAACTGAATAACATTAACAAACACATAACTATATAAGATTATTATAAATAT